GGGCACACGAGCGAATTTGCAAGTAAATAATCGCCGGCGTAAATAATCGGCCGAAAATATCTAACATTTTTTATACGGGCGATTCGTACGGGCGTACGAAATCGGCGCCGATGTGAACGGGCACACGGGCGAATTTTTCGAGCGATTTTAAAATTTGCCGCGATCGGGCGATAAAATACGCTCGTGTGCCCCTACCTTAAGGAGGAACCGTACGTGAACTAGCGCGATGTATTCATCGTGATTGCCTCCCCCCTCCAGACTATTCTCACCTCCGATCCGTAGTCAGGGGCGCCGTACGCTGCAGTCTCTATAGAGAGAAACTCCTGCAGGCTGACCTGCTTGACGTAGCAGTGGTAGCACCGCAGCCGCGGCTTCCTCCGCAGATACCCACCCACATGGTCCGCCTCCTCCACACGGAACCTGCGCGAACCAGGGTCAGATTAGCAAACCAGGGTAAGATGAGTGTACTAGGGTCCCCTCAACCCCCCTAACCCTACTCCTAATCCTGACCCTACCGCTAACCAGAACCCTATTCCTAACCCTAACCTAACTGTAACCCTCGCCTTAATCCTAACTATAACCCTATCCCTACCATTAACACTAACTCTAATCGTAACAACAGTAACCGTATCTCTAGCTAACCATATCATTAACCATAACCCGATATATATAGTACGTAAAGTACATCACACGCACACACTTGTAAACATGTGTGAATCATGTTCTCCCGATCATGCCATATGGCTTCATGTTAATAGTGCATATGTTAGTCATCATCGTCAGGAGTAAAAAGAGAAGACCACAACAACTTATGAAGCCATCTGCTATCTGCTTCATTCCCTGAGTCACTTTCGTATCTGTTACAACTCCCTCCACCGGCCAGATATTAGACTATAAGTATAAGCCAGCTGTTGAAATATTTTCATCACAAGCTTATCATACGGAGTCATCAAGGCAGGCTGTTCTGTTTGCTATATATATAGAGAGATAGGGGGTAGGGGGAGGGAGGGAGGGAGGGAGGGATGAATGGATGGATGGCTGGCTGGATGGCTGGATGGCTGGATGGATGGATGGATGGATGGATGCGTGTATGCATGCATGGGTGGATGGATGGATGGATGGGTGGATGGATGGATGGATGGGGCTATATACATATATGTATATATATATATATATATATTTATTTATTTATGCGTTTATATATATATACGCACGCGCACGCGCACGCACGCACGCACGCACGCATACCTGCTTTGTCTCAGACACGTACGTACCTTTCCAGGTCGAGTGCGATCTCTTCCTGCAGCTCCCTATTGAGCCCCTGCTCCCAGCTCTCTCCCTTGTCCACCAAGCCTCCGGGAAACCCAAGCAGTCCGTCAAACCTGACCTGCATCTGTGTGTGCAACACACGTCCGCGGGCGTTATAAAGTTAAAATATGCATAACAAAAGCACGCGTGCGTTATAAAGTTAAAATATGCATAACACAAGCACGCGTGCGTTACTAAAGATAAAATATGCGTAACACGCGCGTGCGCACGCAAAAACCGGATCGCATTGCTCGTCGAATGGCAAATAATTTGTTTTGTTTTTTAAATTCTTTACAGTTGTGAAATGCGATGACTGAGTTTCTCGCGTAAACAGAACCACATGATAGATATAGGTCACCGTATATATAGTTAATCATATCATAGGAGGGTTTTTCCAATTGGCAATGATTCAAGGTAAACCTTCTCTAAATAGAACTCGGTTGTTCCCTAGCTAGGTCAGCTGAAGGGGTCGTTGTAGCTAGACTTGTACTACAGAAGTGTACCCTAACCCTAACCCTAAACATACCTCATATAAAAATATAAACATATATAATACCAGGAGTTAATAAAGAAAAAGTTTGTCTTTATTAACTCCTGATAATACTAAACAACCTAAAACTACCTCGGGTACATATATATATATATTGATACGACAACGACCCTTGTCTTTATTAAATTGACTACGTCACGAATTTTCCATGGTAAAATTTGTAAAAAAAAAAGGACATTTTTTTACATTAAAAGTAAGATCTAACGTTACTAAATATATCCTCAAATTCTCACCTGATAAAAATGTTTTTGCGTTGGTTAAATTTGCAAAAATCTAGACGATTTTGTAATTTCTGTTGTCTAACACTATTCCCCCAGTACTGTTCAGATACTGACGTCTCTCTGTTTTTCACCGGCAAATTAGGGCATATAAAGAAGGTATCAGGAGCATATAATGACAAAGGTCATTATACGCTCCTGAAGGTATATAAGCATGAAAAGTAAACAGAAACACTAATTGTATTTTCATACATTTAATTTTGTACAAATAACACACAAATATACTAATTGATGGTGCTAGAAATTCGTGACGTAAACTCCTGATAATACTAAACAACCTAAAACTACCTCGGGTACATATATGTAGTACCTGATACGACAACGACCCTTGTGCCCTAGATCACTCAAGGACGAAATAGAACTGTGAAAGTCAGCGAATCAGTATTGAGTAAGGATCGAACCAGTAACGAGTTTAAATAAACTCCTTTATCTCCTTAACCTTTACATCAAGAGTACATAATAGAGATGGGAACCGATCTATAATCCTACGGGTCGTTGGTCCTACAGGTCGTTGGTCCTACAGGTCGTTGGTCCTACGGGTCGTTGGTCCTACGGTTATTAAGAGGGGTAGAGTGAATGCCAAAAAAAAATTTAAATAACATTTTTTATTTTTAAATGTACATTTTTTTAAATTTACATTTTTTTAAATTTAAATTTTTAATTGTATTTGACTCTGATGGGCAGTAAAGTTGAGTATGCGCAGTATACGTGGCTTGTCACTATGATTGAATTATGCACCAGACAGGAGTGGAGAAGGAGGAAGAAAATAATTCTTAAACTATTTCAGTGTCATTCACCCTTCATTTCATTCACCTACGACAAAATTTCCTTATGTTTTTGGTCTAGTTTCATTCACCTCAAAATAATGTCATGTGAACCATACACCAGTTTAAGAAGTACTGTGGGACACTACACAGTTTAAAAATTTAATTTATAAACAATTTTATTAAAAATTAAATTAACAAACAATTAAATAAACAAATTACGTGTGCCTGCGTGCACTGTAGGACAAACGACCCGTAGGACCAACGACCCGTAGGATCAACGACCAGTTGGACTAAAGAACGGTACTCATAGAGATATATATATTATCAGGAGTCTATCAATATTGATATATCGATATTATCAAGAGTAGATAATAACACATTGATGTGTTATTAATACCAAGTTATAATAAAGGTATTATTAGCCCTTGATATTATCAAGAGCATATAAAGAAGGTTTCTAGATATGCTCTTGATATTATGTACTCTTGTTTATATGCAGCTGTGGGGATCAGAGGGAATAGCTGTACTCTGATAGGGCAGTAACCTCCTTTATGTAGGACTGGAGGAATGGGAGAGAACAGCTACCATCGCTATTATAACGCCGACAGCTATAGGATATATACTTTATTTATATAGGACTGCATGCACAGGGAAAAGCTGTAACACTAACAGGATATACCTCATATATATATCAACAAGACAAATTTATCTTTATTAACTCCTGATATAATTTATATATATATATCAAGAGCTAATAAATACCTAGTGTACAACGGTATTTATTAGCTCTTGATATATATATATATATATATAAGACTGGAGAGAATAGCTGCAACCCTGATAGAATACGTCTCCTTTACATAGGACTGTTGAGATATAAAGGGGAAGACTAGTTACCATGACTGCTGCTCTGAGTGGAAACTTTCCCCAGAGTTTGTCGTCGTTGTGAGCGTAGATGATACAGTGTGCGGCGTGAGTGCACTCCTCGGGCAGATCCCTGCACTGCTGAGCCGACAGCTTCTCATACCCAGCATGATCCATGACCAGACAACAACTCCTGCGGGAGAACCAGATGAGACGGGATACCAGAGAAGTGTTGCCAAAAGGAGGTGTTGATCCTATTACCGCTGAGCGCAGATCTTGTGCGCAGTTCCGCGGCAAGGCGCACGCGACCGCGGCAACGTCCTACGACAGTATGCAGCGCTGGCAGCTATGGATCCGTGCGCCGAATCCTTATAGCCCGACGAGGCTGTGCTTGACTGACTGTCTATAGAGTCTTCTACGGTCTTCTAACCCTAGCAAGACCGTTTCTTGGAGCTAGGGTGAAACCTTACGTTAGAGAATCATCGGCGTACATAAATGAGACTGAGAGGGTCTATGTCCCCCGGGGTACTGCCGGAACGTACCCTGGGTACGGTACCGTCCGGTATACCGGAACGTACCCTGGTACCAGAGCATATAAATCAACTGATTTATATGCTCTGCTGGTACTATCAAGAGTAGATAATAATAATCAATGTTATATTATCTACTCTTGGTACTATCTAATATGCCAGCCCGTACCTCGCCTACTCCACTAACGAGTCTAGGGAGTCGCCTACGCCTACTCCCTAACCTAGTCCAAGATTCCTCTGACCAATGCCCACACCAACGATTTTGGTGGATTTGGTGTGGGTTAGGGAGTCCCCCAGGGTCTATGTCCCCCAGGGTACTATCGGATGGTACCCTGGGTACGGTTCGATATATCGGAACGTACCCTGATACTATTTAATATGCCGGACCGTACCTCGCCTACTCCACTAACGAGTCTAGGAAGTCGCCTACGCCTACTCCCTAACCCTAACCTTCACCCTCACCCTAACCCTAACAGATAGTTATACCAGGGTACGTTCCGATATATCGAACCGTACCCAGGGTACCCTCCGATAGTACCCTGGGGGACATAGACCCTATGAGCGTCAGTCATCTATTGATATGGTCGAGAGAGATTGCCAGCTATGAGTAAGTACTTTAGCAACGCAGAGAAGCTACCAGTTATTACCTCCGCGCAACAGAGTTGCAGGGAGGTAATGTGATGCCTCTCGTGTGATGTGTTCGTGTGTGTGTTCGTTGTGTGTGTAGCCAGCAGCGAGCCAGCAGCGATCGATTCAGCACCAGCTCGCCTTAGGGCGTCGAGTCAGCAGCAGCTCGCTCGCTTGCGCGCAACAATCAATATTTCAGCGATTCTACTACTACAAGCTAGAACTACTAGAAACTGCAAGTATGTAGGAGGTATGTACTCTCCG